TGTTTAGATCGAAGTGACTGATTGCGATTGATGGTATCAAGACCTAGTCTCGTTATTCATTCACTTCATTCATTTGTTTATTTTTCGTGCTCATGAACGGCGGGTAGCCTAAGTACTGATGCACATAGTCAAATAAGCACACACAAGAAATCTACAGCACTTCCAATATAATATATATTATGGGAGAACAAGAAATAGGAAACAGTTAAATATCAGCGATTGACCGCCTAAAGGCTTTAACACTTGAGTTGAAAATGTCGATGCTGGTTGTACTGAACGTGTTATAAAAATGTTGGATGCGGTTCAAGGGACTGGAAAGGTTGATTGTTTGAGCTGAGAAAGTGGAATTTACCCTCAAAAGCCCTCGCTGGTGTGAGGGGTGAACAATCAATGCGATCATGAACACATTTATTCAAAAACATTAGATCGCGCTCAAGTCTTCTCGAGCTTAGTGTAGTACAACCACATCGTCGTAAAATCATGTTATACACATAATAAACACTCTGGCCAATGTAGCGATCATAAATAATACGAAAGAAACGTCTCTGCAAGGTTGCTATTTTTGCCTGGTTTGCACTACCAATACATTTCCAAACAACAAAATTAAATTCAACCTTGCTACGTACTAATGAAAAATACGAAATGAATATACAAGCTGACGAATGGAATTCACGCTTTATTCTCGAAATAACGCCTAGCGTCCGATAGGCAGCATTTGGCTCGGCGGGAAGTAAAATGTACCAATGAGTAAGTTTCAGTCAGAAAACGTTATTTCCACCCAGACAGATTCATCGCTAAATTCAAGGTAAAATCTCCATACCGTTTGCAAATGTTTTTAACAGCAATATTATATTTAATGCTCTTGAAATAAAACTGTTACACGCTTCAGAATTGTCATCTCATTCTTGACGCTTACAATCTACTATAACTACAAACATACGTCAAATGTTGTCGAGTTTCGTGCCAGTTACTCTCATTAAATTACTCCTATAAAAAGAAGAAGGCGGTGTGGTCAGACAAATTGAGACTTAATACCTCGGTTGTCTAGTTGGTTGAACATTAAAAAAAATATTAGCTCGGAAGATAACGGACAAGGGAAGACATGACAAGCGCAGTTCTTGTCCGGTCCTTTCCTCCCTTGTCCTTTTTATTTCGCGCTAATATTTTCATGAATTGATACTTACTGACTAGCGAAATGCTATACACTCACCACCAGTCAATCAGTTTTGATGTTATGTCCATGGCTTCTAAAAGCCATTAGTCTGCTAACAAATGGCATTCCACGCTGACTGCAAATATGTTTTCAGAAGCAAATCCATAATGCAACGGAATGATCTGAGTCCCGTATCAAAATGTGAGTGGCAGGTGGAAATATTAGAACTTTCTCGTTTGTTTAGAAGAATAAATAAAGAAACTAGCGCTATTCATTCTTATGTTATGTAATTGTACAGGCTGAAAATTAGAAAAAAAAAGTAATAGGACTAGAAATGACGAAAGAAGGAGATGTTACCCGTATACAAGGGATTAGATATCATCAATCGCCGGTCTGAGGGAGCATTATATACGTACGTTTTCATTACATCCCCCAGCACGACAAATGAACAGATTTACTCGTACATGAAGGTATCTTTCAAATCCCCTTTACCCCTATCGTGCCGACCGGCTACTGTTCGAGAGGAAATATTAAAATTCGTGCCCTTGTATCACCTGTAAACCTTTACAAATGCATAGCAATTATATATAAGTTAATGAGTGAACTTTAAAAATATTTCAGGGTTCACAAATATCCCAGTTGTGAAGAATAACTGCGCGTACCTCGGCAAGATAAAAAAAAAAGTGTATCAAAAGTATCAAACAAACGTAAAAAAGCTCGAGGTACACCTAAGCATTTTTTATGAGTTGTGAATGCGAAAGCATGCAAGCCGCTCGTCCGCCCCCTTTGTCGTCTGCTCGTCCGCTCCCTTTGTCGTCTGCTGCGTACTAGCGCGCGCGCGCTTCGGGATCTCGGAGGACATGGCGCAGCGGCCAATGGGAGCCCCATCGACGGGCGCCAGCCAATGGTAGCGAAGGCGAATCGCTCCTATTGGGATCGCGGAAACCAGGAGCCGTTTTCGCGCTTCAAAATGATGACGTCAGCTCACTCCATAAGACAGTCAATGCATTCGCATTAATAACAAAATCACGTTATTTTTCCAGAAGTATTTTATAACCCTCCTTTTATGACTTACAGTAAAGAGCCACAGTATTGTTAAATTAAAAGGGGAAAAAACTGCTAGCATGCACCTCCTTTATAGTGGATTTGGGTGTGTGCTCTAACACTACGACTGAAAATCGCAATGAATGTGGGTATGTGAAGTTGTGCTTTTGCAACTGGGACGTGCATTCGCCCTTTTGCTGAAGTCGTGTGTGTGCACGGCTGGACTGTGCTTCTGTTCAATATTTAAAGATACTTTTTAACTGAAAGAGGCAAAAAGCGGCAGCTAAGTGTGAAGTGTTTCTAGGCAGTACCGGCTTCGATGGTAGCCTTTCTCTAGTCGGCTCTTGTTGGTTGTCTAAAAATATTATTCAATCATCTTTAGAAAATCGAACCGATCCGGATAATAAATTACGAAGATCATGTGATGCCGGCGAAAAGCGTAGAAGGTGTCTACACTTCCTGGCCAACGGCGAATACAACACTTCAGTTGATAACGTTTTCAACAAAAGATAGTAGAAAATCAACTATGTAGGACAGCACACTACGCTATAAATGCTTTAGAGCATATTAAAAAAAAACTAACTTAAGATCATTCCAATACGTGACATTTAGCGGGTGCTATTCGTTTCTTAGTGTTAGAGTTCTCCTTTTATTTATTTTTAAAAGCGACGAACATGCACCCACTGGGCTGTGCGGCTCTAAACTTTAGAATTTGATATCGCCATGCATGCTGTGGCTGTATTACTTTCATTTAAACAATAGGGAAAGTCTGCATGACCGTAGTCCAACTGTAAGCCAACCAATCAAACCAACACCACAACCAGCCGCAGTCCAACCAATAAAAAACAAAACTTCAATCTTTCATTTAAAAAAAGACACAAAAAGGCCGCGACAGACAACAGAAAGTACCACGAAGAGGAACAAGGGCGGAAGGCGAAATCAAAGTCGAAGCCAGCCCAGCCAGGAACGAAGCCCTAACCGAAGCCGGAACGAATCCAATAGAGGGCCGGGGGATGAGGGAAAGACACCCGTCGGCTTGGGTATCCTCCGGGAAAATTGCCTTTCCTGGTGCGGGGGAGGTCTCAAATGTCGAGCGTCTCCCGCTCCGCTCGTTTCCTGTTGCCGCGTCGTCTGCGTGAAAAGCAAGCAGCAACCCAGCCAGCGAGCAAGGAGGTCCCCCCCCCCCCCCCCCCCCCCCCGAAAGGAGAGTGGTGGCCAGCAGAGGAAGCATCTAATTCGGCTCCGAGGAATTCGCGAGATTAAAGGGACAACGTTTGCTCAGGCACGCTCCGGGGACGTGAATCCTCCCTCCTCCCCCTTACCGCCGACGTCGTCTCGAGGAGTCGGTTTTCCGCCCGACAAGGGACCAACGACACTGCCACTATACCTTCTGCTGTCCCCGGCTGTCTCCTCAATTCTGCCCCGAATCTGTTATTCTGTGTGCTGCGACTGTTTCTCCGCTCACGCCTTCTGATTCCGTGTCTGTGCACCGTTCTGGCGGATGCTTATCCGTAAAATAAAAATTAAAGAAAGATCGCTACATATTGCTTTTATCACCAATGACCTCTAATGCATGGAATGCATTATTTGGAGAACGATAGTTAGAGCTGGCCTAAAAGGTATTTAAGACGCGTTTTGAGGAGAGAAGAATAATTTAATAATTATTGCTTTATTCCGCTACATTTAGCAGGAACACCGTATTGCCCAGCTGTGGTTGGAATGGTTAGTGGGTAGACCTAATGCTAGCTGCCTTTGTTTCCACTGCTCTCGTCGAACGGGTTAGAACGCGGAACGCCGGCGTCAGGCGTTTGGCTCCTGCATTCAAACGCGTCCCATTATACCATAAATATTTTTAAAAAATCTTTATTAAAAAAAAGTCTCATGTTTTTGAAAGGCTTTCTTGTGCCCATATGGGTAGTCTCACTATACGATACTGAGAGATTAAGCAACAGAGGGCGCGGCTTGCAATGTTTACGTCGCTTTGCTTCGACGCTCGCAGCGGCCATTGCCGCCACCTTATAATTGACAGCGGACCGATAATTAAATAAACGGTGATTCGACACGCCCCCGCTTTTCTTAACCTCTCCGTAAGGAGAGGGGTTTTGTTTGTTTGTTTTTGCCCCGAAAGAGCCAACGTATCTGAAAAATGAGCTCCTTTAGGCTACGTACTGAGACCAGCAAGATGATGAACGGCGGCGAAAAAGTTGGTACACTTTGTTGGAATGTGTATGCACTTCAAAAACTGAGGGATGGCTCCCACGCAGCGGCCTCGATTCGTGCCGTTTTCCAACAGCAATCTGACAATACCGAATTGATGCGAGCGTGTTGTGAATGGATTACCTTAATCTTAAAAAAGATTCGGCGTCTGTCCTTCTTTGAGTTGTTTTTTGTTCTTCTTCCACATTGAAGTAATCTGACAACAGTCTGGACCGTGCATCTAAGATAAAAACTACTTACTGGTCTGAAAACTTTAAGGTTTCCCCCTTAGAAAATGTATAGTCACCACAACCGGTGCTTATTCCCGTAAAATAAATTATGGGACGTCAACAAAAAAAAATCGGAACCACGTTTATAACCCTTGAAGGAATTTTTGTTTTAGACCTTCACGCGACGTTTTAATTCATCCTTATTCATATAATCTTTAAGTCTCACCACAAGCGGTGCTTATTCCCGTAGGGCTAAAAAAAGTGAAGAAAATGAGACATTAAAAAGAAATCGTGAAACACTTTGATAACTTTTAAATATGTTAAAGCCTTCACGCACACGCAAATAAGGTGTAGTGTGTGTAAATTTGTTCCCTTACTTGATAAATGCTATGTCGTCAGGACTGAGGTGATCCAGCTCCATGGCTATCTCGTCAGACTGAAAAAGAAAGATATAAGATTAGGAAAGCTTTAGATTTCATTACACCATTTTTTTCTGAGGCACGGCAGACTGAATGTTTCGAGAATCGGATACCGCACTTTCAGCTTTCGTCACAGACCTTATTAAAACGGACCGGTGTGTTAAAACGTCGGGAACCCAAACTCGCAGCTACCGACATGGAACGAAAGCTGCCACTCACGACGATGGGCAGCGTGCTGCGCAGCGTGCGCGCGCAGAAACCCGGGTCGTAGAGGCGCCTGTGGCGAATGGAGGCGAGCGCCGATCGGACCACGCACTGGCTGTACACGTGTCGCCAGCGGTAGCCCTGGGCCCACAGGCGCTCCAGCTCGGACTCGAGGAGCTTGGCGTCACCGAGCTCCAGCATGGGCCGCCACAGGTCTTTCTCCAGCTGGGTCGCACTCTCACACCGCCCGAACAGGCCGTCTGTCGCACGGGGAGGAAAAAACAAAGGCACCAGTCACGAAAAACACGCTGCCACGATTGGCTCCAGTAGGCTGATGCGTGAGAGAGCTGCCGAGCAAACATTGGGTCGCCCCTCGCCGCCAGGCGGCGTACGATAGTGTCCGCCTCTGACGATACGACGTGGCCGAATGTCGCGCAGCCACATTACGGTGTCAGCAATGGTCGCGCCGCTCAGCGACGCGGCACAAACGCGGTTTTTGCTCCTTCGTGTTTCACGCTTGATCCCAGTCGGTCATAAAGCGGGTTCTGCTTGAAAACATCAGAAAATCGACTTGCCTATCGAGGCGTGTGCGTTTGCTGTGTCCGCCGCAATAACAACCCCTTTGCAAAAAAATAAAATAAACTTTTTTTTAAGTGTTTAAAAATACTGCAATATGGCGGGAAAATTAAATACCTTACAGTTTGCAATAGAAACAGTTGCTTGGAGCAGAACGTAATTACGGACTTTTCAATAGTACGATTTATTTTGCGCATGACCCTGTGCATTAAATTCAACTCTCTCAAGAGAAGCAGCAATATCGGGTAGGTGTCTTAACTATTTCTCGGGTTTTTCAGAACGCCTCAGTTTTTTTCTTCACTTACTTTTTTTTTATTACCATGCAATTTTTAGCATAAGTAATGTTTGAGCCATTGATAGGACAGCAGCACCATATCTCTTAAGACACGCCTCCCACCAACAACCTTTAGGACGGCGTCTTTCTCTTTGTGCAGTCGTATCTCCTCACCTAAGCTACGCCCACGAGCCTTAGGACCCAACGTTAAGCCGCATACTCGCGCTAAAATCAAATAGAGCACCGAGTGCGTTTTAAGCACCTCTGCTACCCGGCATTCCTTGATCCCTCAGCTGGGAGACTACACCCGACTCCGAACCCTACCCGAACCACTTCACGCAGCCTTTCAATTGAGTCCACCGAGCGAGCGCGTCACTCGACGCGCTCAAAGCCCAATTAGACAGTGCGTCCCGATTGGGGAAGAAGCCTGCGGATCTAGGACCGCGACTTCGGAAATCCTTCGCGCACCGCCTTCCCCCGTTATAAAAAAAAAAAAAAAAAAAAAATACGAGCATTGCCGGGACGACGGATCCAGCGTGCACACAGACACGCACAAACGCCGGAACGAACTTTCCGCATCGCAGATTTTCACGCCAACTTACCACCGTTCACCCTTCCTCCATACCCCTTCCCAAATCGCCTCCTCCTCCTCCTTCTGTTTCCATGCCGCTCCAACCGAACTTAATTACAGCGCTCGACTAACAATGCGTGGCGCTGGCCTTTAATCCGCCTTTGACCCCGAATCGGTCGGAACTCGGGCGCATCCTCGCTTTGACGAACACAGCGTACCCCTCGACCCCGCACACGACTACATCCACCGGCGCGGATTTATTAATTAGCAGCGCCGGGAGAGCGTTCGCACGCGGGACATGGTTTTCGGGAAGGGGGGGGGGGGGGGGGGGGGCAGCTATATACGGCTTGGGCGAAATGGAGAAAGGAAAGGGAAGAGGAAATCTGGGTTTACTGGCGTGCCAAGTGAGCGTCTGCGACGTTGTTAGCGCGTGTCCGCGCTAACAACGCGGTTTTGTCTCGTGCGCGCGGGGAAAAAAAACGTGTTGATTAGCGAGGTTGTAAAATGCGACCTTAACTTGGAAAAGAACCTACGGAACGCATGTTTGTAAGGGGAACTGATCGAAATCAAGCTGCGAGACGTCCTCTCACTACGAGGAGAGATTGCGTTCTCAGCCGCGGTTCATTATGAATATGTATTAAAATTTTGTGTATAATGTTGTCGGTGTGCAATTAAAACAATTTCACTGGCCTAAAAAAAAATAAAAAAAACGCTGGATGCTTTTTCTCCTCCCCCCCCCCCCCCTTCCCGCCCCCAGAAAAAAAAGAAATATGTTTTTCTTGTAAGACTTTGGTCCCTGAATGTCAACGAACGCACACGCAATCGCAGCCTCTAAAACCAGACACAGCGGCGCCATCACCTGTATGCCGCCTCCTAGCAACGCGGTAAAACTAGTCTGGTGTCCAAGATATGTTTCCGAACAGACCGCGCTACGCGCCTTCACCCCTCGCTTGGCTGCGCTCTGCTCGGGGCAAGTTTATTTTGATCTCAGGCCCTAGCGTCCACCAAGCCTCTATGGGACCCTTAAGGGTTACCCATGTAACCAGCTCTCGCTCTTTGCGTCGAACTCCCCAACAGCGCGTACAACTTTGGCTGGCGTTGCCTGAAGTCACTGCATCCTAGGAAAGTAGCACCGTTGTCTTCCCTGCCTGCTAGCTGGACACAAACAGATGCCAACATACAGACAATCAAAACATAGCAAGGCGTTTGGCTGCTCGGGTATTGTTTCCATGGCAGTCGCCATTTCGGTCATTTTAAATCTTCGAAGCTTCGAAAGGCGTTCTCAAACAGTCACGCCAAGATTGCCATGGAGCGTCATCGTACAGAAAACGTTCCTCGTCAATATAAGCGTTTTTGGCACTGTGTATGCAATCCACGTATCAATCATGCCTATCCGCACACATCTCTTACAATGACATTGTTATTCTTATATATTTAAAAACAAAAAAAAATTAGTTTTAATGCCACCAAGCACCGACGCCGCACATGGCGGCGGTGTACAGATGTGTGCTTGTTTCGCCGGCGTGCAGCGTGTCCTTTAAACAAATTCAAAGTGTTATTTTTTCTTTTGCTTGTTCGTTTTACCGTAAAACCGTCGTAGAACGCTCACTCTCCGCCCACATGTAGCGCTAGCGATTTGAACCACAAACCAAAGTTCCAAAACTAACCGTTACATCATTCAAAAGTTTTGATTTCACTGGGAAAGTGGAGCCCGATTCACCCGTTTTCTGTAACTGCCACCATTCAACTTCATGTATCCGAAAGCTCCGTCGGCCGCAACACTCCCAAGAAAAATTTAAGATCATTTATAACTTCTGAATAAAATCATGGTTAGCCTGAAACGGCTAGCCGGGGGGGGGGGGGGGGGGGCGGGGGGGGGGGGGGAGCCTGTAGATAGCAAGATCTCGATATACAGAAAACGTATTCAAGAATCAACCTGTTACTGGGAATTGGGATTGGCTGACCGAAAATGGAGAGATCAGGAAGAAACTGGTCCTCCTATGGACCACAACGGCGACCATACCGAGAGCTTCGCGCTATTTCTCAGGATCCGGTGACTTTAGCGTTGCTAAGTTCACTTAAGCAGTCGACATTCGGAAGACGTCATCTCCACTTGCAGGCTCGGACGCTGTGTTCGCGCATTCGTTCATAAAAAAAACCTTGCCATGAGTTTGACGTTCCTTGCCGTGTTACTAGACATTCTACTATTTTTGCGTTCATTCAATTTGTAGTGTGTTGCCAATGTCTCGTTTGCAGACTTTGTTCAATAGAAGCGCGTTGTCTAGCCTGGATATCTTCAGTGACATTTCAGTTTTCCGTATAAAAAGTTAAGATACCACGCGGCAACCAGATAGTGTGCATCTCTTCCACTGGTCAATTTTGTTATCTCGACCTTTGATCGGCCATGCTTGTTCGCTTGGTTATTATTTCTGTATTGTGCGTAGCCACGTGATCACCACTGTTCTTGTTTTTGGACACATTAAATAAATATTTATTATTATTATTATTATTGTTATTCATTACCATGATAATGGTCACCATATCATACGGAATTTATAATGCGGAAGGAGACGCCTGGGTGACGAGTTCAGGCTTTTGATGGATGGAACGTGAGCAAAAAGAGTTTGAAGTACGAGCTTAACGAAGATGACTGATTTTCTCCAGCTCCTAGTGCTTTGACGAGCCTCAAGGGAAAAGTATGTTTTCATCTCACATTGTGAATGTTGCAGATGTGAAGAAGAAAAACAAATTCGGTGGCGAAAATTGAATGAGGCAGATGGCACTAGGACCGTTCTATTTCAGGCAACTGAGGCGATGCCTTTTTAGCGAATATAGCGCCGTCCACCTTCTTGCGGGTACTTCGGAGCTCCGGACCCGTTCGGCTCACCGACCGCTATTCGGCGGCTGTTACGCGGACGGACTGTGCTTTGCCTAGCGCATTGTTTTGTTACTGTCGGAAATAGACTTGCTGCTTTTGGTTTTGTTATCTCCTGAAGACTTGATACCGTGGAATTTGTTTCTAACATTAGCAAAACTTCAATGCTGACAACACCTTTCTTCTTTTCTCTCTCTCTTTTTTTGAGAATGCCAAAACTTTTTGCCGGGAACAGGTTCACTCGCCACAACCAACTCGTCATAGGAAAACTGGTCAAAGACGGCATCTCGTTCAAGGTGATCCCGTAGTAGGGACAGTGGTCGCATTGACCTTTTCGTCATAGGAAAGATTTTCAAATAGTTTCAGGTTCACTCGTCACAACAGGTCCACTCATCACAACCTACTGGTCAAAGGAAAACTGGCCATAGGTGAACTGGTCAAAGAAGGCATCTCGTTCTAGGTGATTCCTTAGTAGGGATAGTAGTCGCATTGACCGTCCTGTCATAGGAAAGATTGTCAAATGTTTTCAGGTTCACTCGTTAAAATAGGTCCACTCGTCACAACCTACTCGTCAAAGGAAAACTGGACATAGGTGAACTGGTCAAAGAAGGCATCTCGTTCTAGGTGATTCCTTAGTAGGGACAGTAGTCGCGTTTACCTTCTCGTCATAGGAAAGATTGTCAAATGGTTTTAGGTTCACTCGTTAATGCAGGTTCACTCGTCACAACCCACTCGTCAAAGGAAAACTGGACATAGGTGAACTGGTCAAAGAAGGCATCTCGTTCTAAGTGATCCCGTAGTAGGGATAGTGGTCAGATTGACCTCGTCATAGGAAATACGTTCAAATATTTTCAGGTTCACTCGTCAAAACAGGTTCACTCGTCACAGCCTTCTCGTTAAAGGAAAACTGGTCATAGGTGAACTGGTCAAAGAAAGCATCTCATTCTAGGTGATTGCTTAGTAG